ATGTCTACCTTGTCATCCAAGGTAGTTTTTATATATGTTTTATAGTATTACTCTACAGAGATAAATCTTTTTTTCTTCTCTAGGAAATTTATGTATTTATAAATCCATAAGGTCTATAAATTAAGTAATGAATTGTAGTACAATGATACATAATCTGTACCTTTTATGTTTTAACACTGGCCTTAAATTCCGGGAGACTGCTGTATCAATTAAATTCTAAAAAAAAAAAGCTTTCTTTACTTTTATAATTTAATTCATGGGTTAAATATTCTATCTTCTTTAGATACACAGCAAACTTTTGACCCATTGACTTGTGGGAGGGTTTTTGTTTCCTTGCTTGTATTGCTTTTGGGGATAATTTTTCTGAAAAAAATCTCATGGACCTTGCTTATTTGGCCACACACTTACCTGTTCCTTTTTATAAGCAATATAACCCTTTATAGGATCGTTGCCTAAGAAAGTGCAAACCACACAAGTTAAAAACTTGAGTTTGTCTCTGTTAAGCATTGTGGTATACCCAAAAGATCCCAACATAGAGCCCCAAAGCATAAATTATAGCTGTTTCAAATTGAGACTCTAGTGCCCTTTTGCCTCCACAGACAGCTCTTAAGGATGAAAGGTTTTGTTGCTCATGTGTTGCATAATAAACATCTCTTGATCGACTCAAACAAAATTCATTAAATAATTCTGGCACTCAGTGTAAGGTTCTCTGCTGTTTGTTGGACTACCAGTAATCCCTAAGGAAATACCTCCTGTTCTCTCAAAATCTTTTTGTCATAAGATGTTACATGAGAACTTTGTTTCCAATATGTACTTGTTATTATCCTAGAGACGAATATAAAACAGTAAGTTATTTCTTAAAGCAGTCACTATATGAAGATTTAAAGCAGATAAATTCTCTCATACCTTTGAGATACAATAATGAATGTACATAAAATCTCAAATTTTTGAAAATACTATAGAGAAAGTCATGAAGGAAAGTTCTCAGAAAAAAAGTAACTTAATATTTTAAAAGGTATTTGATATTAAGGTAAATTTCCTGCTGCCAATAAAGCATCTTTCTTTCAGTAGTCCACTTTTACCAAAACCAAATCAATTTAATTCTAACCCAAGACCATTTCCTGGTCCTGTATTATTTTTACTCTTTTTTTTGGAGACAAGAGTCTCACTCTGTCGCCTTGGCTAGAGTGCAGTGACATCATTATAGCTCACTGCAACCACAAAGTCCTGGACTCAAGCAGTCTTCCTGCCTCAGCCACTGAGTAGCTGGGACTATAGGCATGTGCCACCACACCTGGCTAATTTTTCTGTTTTTTTGTAGAGACGGAGTCTCACTCTTCTTCAGGCTGTTCCCAAACTCCTGACCTAAAGCGATCCTTCCACCGCAATATTATTTTTAACTTTTAATTTCATTTTTAATGCATTCTTGTAGAGTTGTATATAATGCAACCATTGGAAGGTTGTTCTTATTTGATGTTGGATTGTATTTTTCTAGATACTAGTGTTTAGGAATAGTAACATTGGCTTTTGCGTGTTTGTGTATGCATACTAGGTTCTGATAACTGGTCCAGCGGACACCCCTTATGCAAATGGCTGCTTTGAATTTGATGTATATTTTCCTCAAGATTATCCCAGTTCACCCCCTCTTGTGAATCTAGAGACAACTGGTGGTCATAGCGTACGATTCAATCCAAACCTTTATAATGATGGCAAGGTAAAGTAATTGAAATATTTTGTTTCTAATGCCAATATATTGTATACAAAGGATCTCTGTAAATTGAACAAAAATATTGTTTTAGTTATCTTCTTATTAAGAGAACATGAGTTTCTTCGTGCTTCTGTTCGGTTACATGCACAGATTAGCTTGAGGGATACGAGAAGGAACTGAAAAGGGCAGGAACACGGCAGTGTTAAGAAGTACTTACGGTCTTAAGTTACTGAGGGACTAACTTACTCGGCATAACATGGCCAGCTCCTGAGAGCTGTCCCTGCTCGGAGCATATCAGGGCCAGGGCCAGTGTCTGTCTTTGCCTCTTAACTTTCTTTACTTCCCATGTCTCTGGTTCCAGTCATCTTTTCACAAGTGCTGAAAGAAGATGAATGGCAAAAGCATGATACCATGTACTCTGACTTCCTTTTTCGCATATCATAACTTTTTATCTTTGTCTCTTGAATTTGTATCTATATTTATAGTTATATTTGGAAATTGAGGCTTTGGTAGAAGGACAGTAGGAACATAGAAAAAGTATAAAGTAAGCTAAATGTCTACAAAATAGGCAGAAAGTATTTTTCTTTATTTACCTCTCCATTTCTGTACATCTAGTATCTAATATCTAATATCTCTCCATTTTGGATGGAAGAAGGACTAGTGACTATTTGTGATTTTTGTTATTACAACAGCTATCTCCCATTGTGGTTCCTTTTTTTGTTCAGTGGGTTTTTCCCCCCTTCTTCTTTTAGATACATTTGAAATGGTTTCTGAAGATGAAGATGGGAAATTGGGTTTTAAAGTAAATTACCACTACATATCTCAGGTGAAAAATGCAAATGATGCAAACAGTGCCGCCAGAGCGCGCCGCCTTGCCCAGGAAGCTGTGACACTTTCAACCTCACTGCCGCTGTCATCATCCTCTAGTGTGTTTGTACGCTGTGATGAGGAGCGACTTGACATCATGAAGGTAGAAACAAGAACTTTGTTTCTGTATCTCC